GATGCCAGTGACTCACGCCTGTAATCCTAGCTACTAAGGAGGCTGAGATCTGAGGATCTTGGTTCAAAGCAAGCGGGCAGGAAAGTCCATGAGATTCGTATCTCCAATAAACCACTTGAAAACTGGAAGTGGCGCTGTGGCTCAAGTGGTAGAGCACTGGCCTTGAGTTGAAGAGCTGGGGGACAGCGCCCAAGCCCAGAGTTCAAGCCCCATGACCGACAAAAAAAAAAAAATGCAGACCTTCACTGGCTCTGCCCTCCTCCCACCCAGCCTGGTCAGCTCCACACAGACCTCCCAGCCCCCAAGGCTGTGCTGGTGGCCCAGGAGACTGTGCCCTGTAAGGGCAGCCTAAAGCTGGAAGCCTGCAGATGGTCAGGTAGCATCCTCAGTCCTTGTCTAAATAAGCGAATGACCCTCGGGATGCAGCTGGGACTCAATACCTACAGGGCTGCATCCATTGAAGGACGTGTGCAAAGGGCACAGTGGTAGCAGCCAAGGGCAGGGGCTGTGTGTGTGTGGAGCTGTCTTCACTCCCTAGCTGCTGGGTGACCTCCAGCAGGTGACTCAGACGCTGTGCCTCCGTCTCCTTAGCTCTGAAATGGGATGCTGCAAATTGTAAATCCCTGGCCCATCCCAAGGAACAAACCAGTGAGTACTTGTAGAGTTGAGAACAGGGCCCGGTGTGGAGTAAGCATCCACTGCCATGGCTCTGCCTCCCGCACCACCCCCGCCCCCGCCCCTAGCACGGTCCAGTGGGGCAGCATCCCGCCCTTCGGGCAAGGGAGAGGGAAGCTGGAGGGGCTGGACACACAGATGGGAATGCAGACAGGACCCACAGGTCTCAGTCACCATGGTGATTGCCATGCACAAGGGTGCCAGGACAATCTGCACTGTCCTCAAAGGTTGGGAGAGCAAGGATGGCTGGATCGCCAAGGGTAGAAGGCTGCTGAATCGGGAGATTCTCCACAGAGGCCAACACCCCCAGTGGGGATATTCACCCTTTTGAGACCTTGCAGCCACTGAGTCTCACAGGACCTTGTCCACCAGGCACTTCCTTACCCACCCCCCACATAGCCCCTGCCCCCCTGGGCCCATGTGCTCTCATTCACCTGGGCAGCTCCCTTCTGGACAGAAGTCAATGGCATGGATTTTTTGTGGGCCCCTGTGCGCTCCAGGGCTGCTCTGCTTCCTGCTGCCACAGGGCCAAGCTGCAGTGCCGGTGGTTCCACGGCACCCTGGGCGAGGGCAAACCCTCTGGACACCAGCTTCCCAGGGGCGTCAGCGTGGCAGCCCCATCCACGGCTGTGTCCATCAGTGTCTAGGGCGCCCCACAAGGGCACACTTCCCCCCGCGGGTCCAGAGACCCGTCCAATGGCACTGTTCACCCCACTGCCATGGCAGACGTCTGTGCACATCGCAGGACCCACAACAAGAGCTCACGTCTTCCAGGAGTTATGGCGGAACCCTGGGGTGCACAAACTGCCTGTGTGTCACACAATATTAAATTCTATTTAAGCTGAAGGTAAATTTTAGCTTCCTCCCTGAATTATTTATTCCTAATGAGTGGTGAGAGCCAGGAGGAGGGACAATTGCAGGGAACTGTGCTCACTTCATTGTGGCTCCAGTAACCACACTGAGCAACTCCACAGAGGGAGAGAGGAAGGGATGGATGGGGATGGAGGGATGGAGAGGAGAGAGGGGATGGAGAAGATGGAGGGGATGGAGGGATGGAGGGGATGGAGGGATGGAGGGGATGGAGGGATAGAGGGAGGGGATGGAGGGATAATGTGGAGAGGATGGAAGGATGGAGGGATCGGGATGGAGGGGTGGCGGGGATAGAGGGGATGGAGGGATGGAGGAATGAAGGGATAAAGGGATGGAGGGGATGGAAGGATGGAGGGATGGATGTGACTGGCCTGTCGCCGTATGCACAGCCAAGTGCAGCTTGAGCTGCTGAGGCCGAGGTCCAGGGTCTTTCAATAGCCCAGGCAGAGAGAAGCGGCCGCGCTGCCTCTCCTGTGACCCCTCTAGTTGTGTACAGAGGACTGGTAGAAACACCCGCTCTGGTCTCCAGGCACCTGGCAGTGGCAGGCACTGCTAAGTGGCTCATTCCTCCTCCCTCCTTGCCCTCAGCTTAACAATGAGCCTCCACTTCTGCCAGATACACGCGCAACACCCCAAGAAGATGGTGGGCTGGAAGCCCCACGCTCCCTGGCGTGGGGAGCGTGGAGGTGGGCGCAGCCTTGCCTGCACCGCCAGCGCCTGGCGTGTCCTGGCACACGAGCAATGGCGCGGACGGAGGCCAGGCACGAGTGTCTGTCACTCCGGGGCCTTCAGTCAGCCACAGAACCTCTAACCCACGCAGGCTTCTTGTTTCTACTTTTAATTCTTCAAAGGTAAGAGGGCTGTTTGCTCAAACCCAGCTGTGAGTCTGTAGGACAGGAAGGAAAGCCACGACAGAAAAATTGGCACAACTAGTTTTGGAAAATAGTTTAGTACAACTTTGTTACAAAATTCATTTACAGGATGTTATTAACATACTTATCATATTTGCTCCAAATAATTCTCAAAAACATACACCAAAATGAACTGCAGAGTAAATCCCGGGAAAATGATACGCCAAGAAGCAGAAGGGGCTTTTCAAGTAGAACGCGTTCCTTCGAAACGGGCAGGGTCGGCGGAAGCAGGGCGCCTCCTTCGAAGGCCACGGCAAGGCGGCCCCCACTCATCTTGTACAACACCAGCCTCCTACCCGCCTCCCCGCAACCTCCCCGCACCACAGCCTCGGGACACGACCTTTTGGCAATGCTTTTTACCCACTGGAACAGAGTTTTAAATACGATGTGAAACAGCAGCACGTTCTGCTGAGGCTGGACCGGGACCCAGGCTTGTTCTCGGGGCGGTGGTGCCTGGCTGCGTGCGGCTCAGGCCCAGTGCTTGCCTCGCAGGCGCAAAGCCCTGGGCTCACTGGGGAAAAAAAGAAACAGAAAAGAAAAAAAACCCACGAGGATGCAACTCTGCTCACCTCTGCGTGTGCGGTGCGGTGCGGTGCGGTGCGTACGTGGTGTGGCGCTGGGCACGAGGCTCCCGCGTCACTGCTCAGGCCTCCAGTGTGGGGCCGGAAGCCCACATTCGGAAAACCCGACTTCTTAAGGGCTGTGTCACAAGAGCAGAGCAGGAGGCCGCGTCCACACCTGTTTTTGTCACGCCTCCTTTGAAAACCCACATCCGTTAAACCACACTCCTCTCCTAAGATCCCAGAAGAGGGAACTGCAGAGGAACGGGGGTTCTCGCCCCTGTCAGGTGACCCCACTGAGGCCCAGGGGCGCAGCACTGGGGAGGCGCGCCCCCTGCTGTCCCACAGGAGGAAACGCAACGCTGGCACTTGGGCCGTCGTTTTCTCAACTCTGCCTCAGTAGAATTTCTAAATCAAAACTGTATTTGCTTAAAAGCAAAGGCCACAGAAACTTCTTTAGGAGATGTGTCCCTGCCCCCAGCGCCCTGCGGGGCGGGCAGAGCACGCACTGCAAACCCGTCACGTGTTGGGACACTGGGGGTGTGGACAGATCAGACAGCCCCTCCCTGACCTGAGCATAACCCGGCACCAACCAGATGGCTCCGGAAGGGCGCAGCACGGCTGGCGGCTCTTCCCCAGCCCCTAACTGCTCCCTTCACTTCAAAGAGCATTTCATTTTGCACGGATAGTTCCAGACTGTCTGGGCAGGGGGACTGTGGAAAGCTGCAGCCTGGTCGGCTGGCTAGCTCACATTCGGCAACACAGAGCTCCCACTCTGAGTAACAATTCAGAAATGACGCTTCCATCTAGAATCTATTATTGTAAGAAGAGCATACTAAAAGGGTAAGTGAACTGTCACGGTTAGCAGAATGACCCTAACGTGACCGCGCCTCCAGTTCCAGCACCCACCAATGCCAGCTCACTCCCAGCGCACAGGCCGCGGCTCCAAGGCCCTGCGGCCTGCCCTCTGCTCATTTTTTCTTCTTCTCTTAGTTCATTCTGTTGAAAAATGATTTAAGCAAGGGGAAAGAAAAGCGGTCTACCAGATCAAATTCTCCAAAGGTTTTGTTAATGTGCTATACAACATTTTAAGCAGGGGGAAAGAAAAGTGGTCTACCAGATTACATTCTCAAAACAATTTGTTAATTTGCTATACAAATATACATCTCAACCTTTACAACATTTGCTCCATCTGACCTCTCTTCCCACGCAAGAGCCGGGTTACACATGGAGTCTCACCGCCAAGGCGTTAGTTATCCCAGTACACAGACGCCCTCTGAAGGCTTTCCAAATGGAGAAAAAGTAGTGAAGATGATCGAAGGCTCAGGTGTTGAGACGCACTTGTTTTCCGGCAGCACACAAACTCTTTAAGGAAAAAGCAAAATAAAACAGAACACAAAAACCGAGAACTGTCTGATGTTTCTGCTAGCTGGTCTTGGCATGTTTACAGCTGCGCTGTGGCTGCCGGCCCAGTGCTCGGCTTCACTATAAAAGCCGTCTCTTCTTGGCACCACTGTCCTCCTCAGGCCCCCTTCTGGGCCAGTAAGAGTTCCTCTTTGGATAGTAGGACACCGAGCTGTACCTCTCCTGCTCGCCCCTGCTAAAAGCCCTGGTCTCCCGCCTGTAGCTCGGCCCCGGCTCCGGGTTCCTGCACCTCCTTCCGCTGGTAGGCCCGGCATGGCTGGGAGCCGGAGGCCTGGCCTGCGGGAGAGACCTGGCACCGCTCACAGGGGCCGCTTTGGTAGTGGACCCCCTGCCACCCTGGTCCTGGTGACTCATGGGAAAGCCTGGCTCTCCCAAGGGAGGGGTCGCCCCAGAATGCTGGGGGCTAGACGGCTGTGGATCCCTGGGGAACACCCCCTTGGCATCAAGCTCCAACCTTCTAAAGAGTCGTGGGTCCCTCAGGCGCTCCTGAAGACAAGACCTTTCGGGGCCATTTGAGGTGATGGTGACAGACGCTTCCTTGGAGTTGGAGGGCGTGTGATAGAGAGAAGCAGCGAAAGAGGTGGTGGCAAGTCCGCCGTCCAGCTTGCTGCTGGGCAGGCCACCCTGGGGCCTGGCCACCTCTGGGGCTGTGGTGGGGGGGTGGCTCAGGCCCCTCTGCAGCACAGGCTTGAGCTTCATAATCTTCGCTGCATCGTGCTTGTAGTTCTTGTCGCAGGTCTTGACTATGGCCCCTCGCTTCTGGGCATCCTGAATCAGTTGATTCCAGTGCTCATTTTCCTGAACAGAGAGAGAAACAATGACTCGCTGCCGGGGGAACGTGGGCTCCCAGCTCCCGCCTCTGAGCGCACAGCACGTGTGCTGCCAGGCGTCAGCGGCTTGCTCAGGACTCCTGACATGCCACCCAAGACCAAACGATGATGGGACACTGTTAGAAAGCACTGGGAATGATGATGAGACACTGTTAGAAGGCACTGGGAATGATGATGGGACACTGTTAGAAAGCACTGGGAATGATGATGGGACACTGTTAGAAAGCACTGGGAATGATGATGGGACACTGTTAGAAAGCACTCGGAATGAGCTCTGCTCTCGTGCCACCAGCTCTTCTGCAGCGGCCAGCCGTGAGGACGGACAGCGCTCTGCTCCCCTGCAGGACGCTGGCTGCAGAAGGCAACTGCAGTACCTGACTCTCGGAGAAAGCATCCGGGAGCTTTGCCTGGCTTCTCAGAGGCTTCCCGGCTGAAGCCCCCTGGGGGGGGAGGGGTCCCAAGATCCGGCCCCACTCTGTCTATTGTCCAGAGGAGCGGGAGACAGAGCAGCACCAGAACCAGGGAGCCCACACGAGACCCGTTCTTGCCGTCCACTGCTGCTTTACAACCGCGAGCGAGCGCGTGGGACCAAGCACACCTTTGCGAATAGCCTAACTTCCTATCCTTTCCTTTGTATTTTCAACTTTTACGCACGAACAAGACTGAGGTGAATACAAGTCTGTCAAAAAGGGCCTGAAACCGTCCTTTAAGTGAAACTAAAACCAAGATCTAAACGAAAGAACACTGGCGTATCAGTGCCTAGGAGTGGGAAGTGGCAAGGATGCCCACTATGCTCCCGAGGGTTTGGCCAGGCTAAAGGAGGTCACGTGGGCACAGCAGAGGCATGGTGATGGGTGCGGTGCGGCCTACCATCCCTCCCCGCAGGAGCGGGAGCGGGAGCAGGTCCCAGGTCCCAGGCTGACAGGTGCTGGGCTCTACTTCACTAAGGAGACTTCCGGAGACTGGCAGCCTGCGCAATCTCACAGGAGAGGCCTTGACTTTTTTCCTGAGCCCAAGACACTGAAACTTGAATCCAATCCTAAGACTACAAAAAAGAGTTCTTTTTGTGCCAGTACTAAGACCTTGAACTGAGAGACTTGGCACTCTCCCTTAACTTTTTTACTAAAGGCTAGTAATGCTCTACCACTTGAGCCCCACCTCAAGTTGGTTAACTGGAGATAAAAGAGTCTCACAGGCTTCAAACTGTGCTTTGGTTTTCGGATCTCAGCCTCTTGAGTAGCTAGGATTATAACTATGATAGGCCTCTAGCCGAGCACCCGTGGCTCACGCCTATAATCCTAGCTACTCAGGAGGCTGAGATCTGAGGATCACAGTTCAAAGCCAATCTGCTCAGGAAAATCCATGAGACTCATCTCCAATTAACCACAACAACACTGGAAGTGGTGCTGTGGCTCAAGTGGCAGAGCGCTAGCCTTGAGCTGAAGAGCTGAGGGACAGCGCCCAGGCCCAGAGTTCAAGCCCCACGACAGAAAGGAAAAAAAAAATATGATAGGCCTCTAACACAAAGCTCTAACAGTTGTATTTTTAATCCATTTTATTTTACCTTATCGTCTTTTTCTTTTTTCTTTAGTGCTGGGATAAAACCCAGGGCCTTACATATACCCTTACCCAATGAATACATCCCAGACCATCATTTTATTTGAAAATATCAGTATTTTTTAACACTTAAGAATCATAAGATTAGCCGGGCGCCGGTGGCTCACGCCTGTAATCCTAGCTACTCAGGAGGCTGAGATCTGAGGATCGCGGTTCAAAGCCAGCCTGGGCAGGAAAGACCGTGAGACTCCTATCTCCAATAAACCACCAGAAAACCGGAAGTGGCGCTGTAGCTCAAGTGGTAGAGTGCTTGCCTTGAGCTGAAGAGCTGAGGGACAGCGCCCAGGCCCAGAGTTCAAGCCCCACGACCGACAAAAAAAAAAAATCATAAGATTTACCAATACTTAGTTACAATAAAAGATTTTTCATATAAACTTAAAATCAGGAACATAAAGTACGGAGCACACAGCTTTCCAGCTGTGTTAAAGACGAGAGATCCTGGAGAGAATCCAGTGAGACAGAAGGTGCATTTGAACGCCCTCTGGTGGCACACACAGAAACAGGAGGGAAAAAATAGATGCCCATGGACTGTTGAAAACCCAAGCAATTCCTTCTCCTAATGAGGCAAACTGGAAGTAAGTGCTGTGCTTAGGGGGCCATGACCCACGTAGCTCATGGTCTGTGTCTACTAAAGACTAGAGCCACATGCCTCTCCCAGATGTGAGCACGCTGGCACGGGGCCACAGAAAACAACAGTGCGTGCTGCTGCCCATGGCCTCTGGGCCCCTCACTGAGAGGGCGAGGCTCACTTTGCATGTGTGGCTTTTTAAGCCTTCTTCACACTCCTGTGACACAGACTCAGTCTTTTTTTTTTTTTTTTTGGTCGGTCGTGAGGCTTGAACTCTGGGCTTGGGCGCTGTCCCTCAGCTCTTCAGCTCAAGGCGAGCGCTCTACCGCTTGAACCACAGTGCCACTTCCAGTTTTCTAATGGTTTATTGGAGATGAGAGTCTCATGGACTTTCCGGCTCGGGCTGACTTTGAACCACGATCCTCAGATCTCAGCCTCCTAAGTAGCTAGGATTACAGGCATGAGCCACCGGCACCGGGCACAGGCCCATTCTTCTACACAACCTAGGGTGGACATGCCTTGGGGCTGAGCTTTATTCTGAAGCCCAGGATCACTTCCTTTTTGACAAAAAACAAAAATGAAACCTCAAGCTGGGTAACAGTAATAACAGGCAAGTTTGGAGCCCGTGGCCCGAGGATGCGCTTACCATCAAGGTCCTCAAGTGCCCCAGGATGAAAAGACTATACTTGGCTCGGGTTATGGTGACATTCAATCTCTGCAAACTTGCCAGGAATCTAAGCAACAGAGAAAGAGAGTCATTTTCCCCTATGCAAGGGTTTTCTGGACTTGGAAGGGGACACAGGACACAGGATGATGACCTTCCCTGCCACCCTGTCCACTCCCACACAACTCAGTGTCTGGTTTCTAATGCCACAAAAGTGTGACCAAGCCAAACCCTTGGTGCTTTATGTCAAAAGCGATTCCTTTTTAATGTCCTATTTGGACTCAAATGAGATACTGGAAAATTTATCAGCGTGAGCCCCCCTCCCCCTCTCTTCCTCCCCTACATTTTGTTTTTTTTTTTTTGGGGTCCAGTCGTGGGGCCTGAACTCTGGGTCTGGGCGCTGTCCTTCAGCTCTTCAGCTCAAGGCTAGCGCTCTACCACTTGAGCCACAGCGCCACTTCTGGCTTTTTCTCTTTTTGCTTATGTGGTGCTAAGGAATCGAACCCAGGGCCTCAGGCAAGCAAGGCAAGCGCTCTACCACTGAGCCACTTTCCCAGCCCCTCCCCTACATTTTGCATAGAGTCTGAACTCAGGACACGATCCTTTCTAGGCAGGCACTCAGCCACATAAGCCACACCCTTCCCTTCTGAGTTGAGTTCTTGCTATAGTTGGCTTTCACCTTTTAATTCTTAGCCTTCTCAACTTCCCAGAGCTAGAATTATATGTGCATCACCACACCTGGCCTAACAAGTCTTAAAAATATCCTAAAAATAAGCTGAATCCCCGTGGCTCATGCCTATAATCCTAGCTACTCTAGAAACTGAGATTTAAGGATAGAGGTTCAAAGCCAGTCCAGGCAGGAAAGTCCTTGAGACTCTTATTTCCAATTAACTACCAAAAAGCTGAAGTGAAGCTGTGGCTAAAGCGATAAAGCACTAGCCTTGAGCTAAAAAGCTCAGGGACAGCATCCATGCCCTGAGTTCAAGCCTTCGGACCAGCTCACGCACATGCATGCGTGCGTGCATGAATGTGTGCGTGCACACAAGCACACACATACATACCCCTTCAGACCTAAGTAATGTTAGTTCAATTACTAAATCTGAAATTTAAATATATCTTTTGGTGATTAATTAGAAATAAAGTCTCAGACTTTCCTGCCCAGGCTGGCTTTAAACCTTGATCCTCAGAGCTCAGCCTCCCGAGTAGCTAGGATTTCAGGTGTGAGCCACCAGTACCCAGTTCTATGAGACTCTTCTAACTAGTAAAAAGCTGCAAGTGGAGCTGTGGTTCAGGTGGTGGAGCTCCAGCTTTGAGCAAAAGCAAGAATGCAAGGCTTGGGGTTTAATTAAGCTCCAGTTCTGGCACATATAAAAATAATTCAACAAATTAACAATCTTCTGTAGGAGTAAATAATCACAGGAGTCTCAAGGTAATCCTTAGTTAGACAAAGCAAAACCAAAAACCAGAGAACTGCATGAGAGCTACAGACTGGTGCAAAATATACCTCTAAAAGGTCACTGATTTCACTCATAAAATCAGTAACAGTCTTAACAGGAAAAGCAGACTTCACAGTGCATCTTTTTTGCACAACTCTTAACTTGAAAAAGATGTCTTACAAGATATTCAGATTTTGCAAAAGAAATTTTCTAAAGCCAAAGGGAGTGTTGCCTAGCAGTGATGGGCCTGGATCTAACTGGTTACAAGCAAGCAAGGAGAAAGCCCAAGACGGCTACCTACCCAATGGAGCCTTGTGTGGCACTGGCCCGGACACAGGTGACAATGATGCAGTCCTTCTGACGGCCCTGGAAAGCGTCCACAGTGTCCACTTCCGCCGAACTATTTACAAAAGGGAAAACAGCTTAGAAAGAGAAAAAGGCGGTGGGCTCTGTGGCCCCCCCCTTCGCTGATGACCATTCATCTACCGTGGCGACACACCTCCTTATCCAGCAGCTTCACAGAGCTGGAACACTCCTGCGACTGGCCCCTATGCCCCAGCCTACCATTCCAAAGGCTCCCCGCTGCGCGTCCTCTCGCAACAGTCCACAAGATTCCACTCACAGCTGACGGACTGGGCGTCCTTTCCACTTTATTACCAATTACCAGTCTATTACCAATGCTCCTGCAAACACTGGCTAGCTTTTATGTGACCATTTAAAAATCCTTCTGGGTATATACTGAGGAGGGGAGCTGCTGAGCCATGCAGCATTTCTGTTAATTTCTTGAGCGATCATTGAACGGTATTCTACAGTGACTCACCAGTGTACATTCTCAGCAGCCCAGCTTCATCGTGGGCATCCTGGGGGTCACTCCCATCTCCCAAGTAACTAACTGTGCTGAGCACCTGTCTCACATGCTATCTGCTTCTGACAAATGTTAACTGCCAGTTCTGATCACCTAAGCTATGAGTCTTGACTTAGGCATATATGACTTACAAGCACTCTTGCTTACTGGCTGAAGGTAGCCTTCCTCTCCTGGGTGGGTTTTGTGCAGGGGCGAGGGCTCAGCTGTGCAGGCAGGAGCCCTCATCACTGGGCTGTGTAACCCCATTGTTTCCTACTCTTTTGATACTTGTTATATAGGTCTGTTGAGGTCTCCACTCCACATTCCTCCTCGCGCCCCCCCGCCCCCCCGCCCCCCCTGACCCCATGGCCATTTTTAATCTTTTCTGTATTTCTAAGAAACTTTTTTTCTTCTTCAGTTTTTGTGTTTAGTTTTTTTCCCCCTTTTTGGCTATTAGTCACTTTTTTTTTTGTTGCAAATTCTTTATTGTGATTAAGTGATTATATAATTTCTAAGAAACTTTTTTTCTTTTTGTCAGTCATGGGGCTTGAACTCTGGGACTGAGCACTGTCCCTCAGCTCTTCAGCTCAAAGCTAGCACTCTACCACTTGAGCCACAGCACCACTTCCAGTTTTCTGGTGTTTTATTGGAGGGCTTTGAACTGTGATCCTCAGATCTCAGCCTACTGAGTAGCTAGGATTACAGGCGTGAGTCACCAGCACCAGGCTAATTTCTAAGAAACTTTTAAACTAATGGATTTCCAATAATTTTTACTTTTTATTTTTTGAGACTATCTTGTTAGGCTTTGAACTTGATATGTAGCTCAGGTGTCTTAAACTCAAATCCTTCTGCCTGAGCCTCTCAAGTGCTAACATTAGAGATGCGCACAGATGAGTACCACCATTCACCATTCTACTCTCTAACACTGACTGAGTCACACTTTCAGCCCTCGATTTTTTGTGTGCTGGTTCTGGACTTCAATTCAGGGCCTGAGTGCTGTCCCTGAGCTTTTTTTTTTTGTCGGTCATCCAGCTTGAACTCTGGGCCTGGGCCCTGTCCCTCAGCTCTTCAGCTTCAAGGCCAGTGCTCTACCACTTGAGCCACAGCACCACTTCCAGTTTTCTGATGATTAGAGATAAGAGTGTCAGGGACTGCTGGGTGCTAGTGGCTCACGCCTGTAATACTAGCTACTCAGGAGGCTGAGATCTAAGGATCACGTTCAAAGCCAGCCCGGGCAGGAAAGTCCTTAAGACTCACCTCCAATAAGCCACCAGAAAACTGGAAGTGGCGCTGTCTGTGGCTCAAGTGATAGAGTGCTCGCCTTGAGCTGAAGAACACAGTGACAGTGCCCAATCCCAGAGTTCAAGCCCCACGACTGACCCCCCCCCCAAAAAAAAGTGTCATGGACTTGCCTGAGCTGGCTTTGAACTTTGATCAACAGAGTTCAAACTCCTGAGTAGCCAAGATTATGGGCGTGAACCATCAGCACCTGGCCGCCAGCTCTGCTTTTTTGTTGGGTTATTTTGGAGATGGGAGTCTTTCTGCCAGAGCCAGCCTTGTACCACCATCTTCCCTCTCATCAGCCTCCTGAGAGCTAGGATTACAGGTGTGAGCCACTAGTTCTAAGCTCCAATAGTTAATCTTTACTTTTACTTTAGAGGCAAGACAAAAACACATTCTTATCTCTACACATAAGGACATAAAAGGATTAATTTATTCAAACAAAATGTGACTTCACTGGTTTCAATCCAATTAGAATTCAGATTAACAAGCTATAAAACTAGCACAAGTCCTAGAGAGCCCCGTCAATCCACCGATAGGAATTCTGACTCTCAGGAGGCACTCTATCTACTGGGGCCAAAGCACCCAATACCTACCCAGCACGAGTCTAGGAAAGCCCAAGCCACAACCTCCTAGTGTTGTGCTATGTTCCAACCACCTGACACAAACCCAGACTACTTCCTAACATTTCCTTTCTTCTTTCCTGCTACACTGCCTTCAAATTCAACACAAACACTAGGAACATAGGTTAAAACACCTTACCCTTTCCTATCAAATTCTTTGTCTAAGTCCTTCTGAATCATCGTCTTCTGAGCCTTGTAATGGGTTATTATGCCAATGTTCCGAAAGGTAGTGTCTCTTCTTTTGTCTTTAATCAACTTCATTATTTCCATCACTAATTTTATTTCTTGAATATTTACGTAGGAGCTAAACAAGATGGAAAAAGAAAAGACAAATCAAAACAGCAGTCTAAATGCTAACTCATTCTATTTAGTATTGTTTCCCATTAACATAAAAGATTCATCTTAGCCAGGCACCAGTGACTCACACCTGTAATCCTAGCTACTCAGTAGGCTGAGATCTGAGGATCTCGGTTCAAAGCCAGCCCAGGCAGGAAAGTCCGTGACTCCTCTCTAATAAACCACCAGAAAACTGGAAGTGGCGCTGTGGCTCAAGTGGTAGAGTGCTAACCATGAGCTGAAGAGCTGAGGGACAGTGCCCAGGCCCAGTGGCTCACGCTTGTAATCTAGCTACTCAGGAGGCTGAGATCTGAGGCTCCCAGTTCAAAGCCAGCCTGGGCAGGAAAGTTTATCTCCAATAAACCACCAGAAAACCAGAAGTGGCACCGTGGCTGAAGTGGAAAAGCGCTAGCCTTGACTGAAGAGCTGAGGGACAGCACCCAGGCCCAGAGTTCAAGCCCCATGACTGACCAAAAAAACAAAAACAAAACAAAAAGCCTGGGCTGGGAAGGTGGCTCAGTGGTAGAGCGCTTGCCTTGCATGCCTGAGGCCCTGGGTTCAATTCCTCAGCCGGACGTGGTGCTGTGGCTCAAGTGGTAGAGCACTAGCCTTGAGCTGAAGAGCTGAGGGACAGCGCACAGGCCCAGAGTTCAGGCCCCATGACTGGACCAAAAAAAAAAAAAAAACTACTGGCCATGCTAACCATGCGCTATCCCACAGAGGGGCCAGTCACACTCTATGGCCCCAGAGCTGAACATGGGCCTCATTTTCCCCTTTCAGCCCCATGCACACTCTGCAACTCCAACCCAGCCCTCATTCCCCAACCAGATCCAACCCCACCAACACACTGTGGCAGTGCCCTTGTCTGCCTTGCTCTAAGAGTCTTCAGGAACACACTGTGCCAGGGCTCTTGCTCTAAAAATCTTCAGGAAACACTTGCCTAACCAACTTCTAGACTCAGCAACTAGAGACAACCCAGTGGCTGTCCAGCTCTTCCATCCCCAAAGTCACTTTCCCTGGTTGCTTCCTGGATGAGGCCTCTATGGTCAAGAATCCTTGTGACCTCTGGCTCCCACAATGCCCTTGGACTTCATTCTGTCTCTACTCCAGCAGGCTCCAAAGAGACCTTCAAGTGGTGTGACCATCAGACAACAAACTCCTTTGCACTTGAACTTCTTCAATGAATGTACCCCTCCCACCACCTTACTCCATGGACACACGCTGACTCAGAGGCAGAGCATGTGTCCCCATAGTTCATGAGAGAGGCAGTGTCTGTGCCCCATGCCACCCCCTCACTGCACTCCTCTGACAGGTCTGTTACCTGGCAATACATGACTTCTTTTTTGTTGTTTTTCTTTTTTCTGGCTGTGGGGCTTGAACTCTGGGCCTGGGCACTGTCCCTGAGCTTGCCAGCTCTCTACCACTTGAGCCACAGCGCCACATCCAGCCTTTTCTGTTTATGTGGTGCTGAGGAATTGAACCCAGGGCCCCATGCATGCAAGGCAAGCGCTCTACCACTGAGCCACCTTCCCAGATCCCATGACTTCTTTTTGCTGACATTCACAGGCAGCCTGACTCATAACTCAAAATCTTCAAAGTAGTCTCACATTGTCTCTTATGTCTTTCCCCATTCTTTCCTTAATTCAACTCTATCTCCACTCCTTCACCCAAGCCACCACCCTGGAAGGTCCCCCTCAAGAGACTGCGATCATCTTACAAGTCTGTACCACTCACTGCAGTCACCTTCTCAGTGTTAGTGGGGCCCCCAGTTAGGGCATGGTGCCCCAGTTCACAGAAGAGGGAGGGAGAGAGCCAATAAGGGAAGTGAAAATAACTGTGTCAGAAAGATATGTAGGGGAATGCCTGATACAGATCTACACATAAACAGTACTGATTGTGTAACACCCCTAGGGAGAAGGGGAGGAGCATACTCATTGTCCCGTCTTTCCGAACCATCTGCGACATCAAACACGAGGTAGGGCTGAAATGGCCAGTCTGAGGAGCATCGATTGGCTTCAGTGAGCCTATAAAAAAGCAGTCATCATTCAGAATGTATCTTGTGTATTTCATCCTCCCTAACCTTTCTTTGCTGTGCAGGAGAGCAGAGGGGCAAGGGAAAAGAAAGGGAGCAAGAGAGCCCTTTTATGGGTATGGACGGATTTTCTTTCTGTTCTAGTACTAGAAAGTGATCTATACAATCAACGTAGAACAAAAAAATGATTTAAAAAAAAAGTTAAGCCATCGCATTTGGTATAATCAACATGATGACATAGAGAAAATTATTGTAATTTTGTGACTTTTTAAAAATGGTAAGACTAATGAGCAGAGTAAAGGTGCTGTTTCTCCTATGGAGCAAACCCTACACACAAACCCACCTATTTGTTTTCAAGCTTTTGTTATAAATGTAATTGGAAGGGAAGAGACATATGTCTGGGTGCATGCGGTACTGAACAGTGAGCTGTACAACTGGCAGTCTGCCGATCTGGTTCTGCTCCACACTCTCCTCCAGCAGCTTGTAGAAGCGAGCCATCATCGACTGGTCATAGCCACACTCCTGTGCCTTCTGAGAGGAGAAAAGCACACTGGTGGTTAAAGCAATGCCAGTGCTGATGGGTTTGGCACATGATCAGCAATAGTCACAGTCTCAGGGGAGGGGCCATTTTGGAGCCTGATCCTCACACCAGAAGCTGTGGCGACAAGCAGTCAAAATGGGGGGCAGGCTGCAAGGGGAAGGACAACAGCAAGGCTGTCTGTTGTGGGCTGATTGAGTCTTCCTAGGACACAGGTTCTCCAGTGTGGCCAGGCTCCTATGCTATGCTCATACATCGAGCAAGAACTGCATCGTTATTTTGAATTCTAGAGTCAAGGCCATTAACTACAACAAAACTGCACACATTTAATTCACAGGGAGCACAAATGCTTAGAAAAATGAACTTGGGGGGTGGGGCAGGGAGAGGGAGGAGATGAGAAGGGATGGGAAGGGGAAACAAAGGAGGAGGCATGCTTGTATAAGAAATGTACTCATTATCTTGCCCATGTAATTGTAACCCCTCTATATGGTATTTTCACACTAAAAAAAAAGAGAAAAAAAAGAACTTTTCTGTAGTAAGTTTGTGAGGCAACTATTCTGTATTTATATAGATTGTTTTAGTAATAAATATATTTTATGAAATTTCAAAGCCATTACACTCTATTCCAATTGCCTCGAACAGCCATCCAGTCTTGATTCTGATTTATTTATTTCTAGGACATCATATGTTTAGCAAGATGAATTATTTTTCTTGTTATTTTTAAATGATGTAAGGGACAGAGGTATTCTTTTGTACTTGGAATCATGTGCCCCCAAATCATAATCCTTTACTGTATGTTCCTCAACTTATGCATCTTTCCATGTAAATCAGGAGGGTAGGGCTCTCTTCCTGGTCTTTTTTCTTTTTGTTTCGGTATTTGACTTACACTCCCCCTGCAGGAAGCCCAGCGTGCTTGCACTGTGCCCTGCGGGCTCTGACCTCCGATGCCTTCACTGCCCTTCACTGCCCGGCACACTCAGAAGCAGCACACCACCAACAAAAGGACTTTGGAGAGACTTCCTGGTTTTCTTTTTTCTTGAGACAGTGTCGACAGGTAAGCTCAGCTGGCCTCAAACTTGCGACTTTCCTGCCTAACCCTCCCCAAGGTGCCATGCTTCCTGCTCTTCTGAATGTGTGCCGCCTCACCCAGCCAAGAATTTGCACTAGTTAAACACAAACATTGACTCTCTTTTCTCAGTCATCTCCTCCTCTTCCTTCCAAATAAGAGAGGACATTTTAAGGCTGAACAAAACCAGCCTCTTCCAACTCACCATGGAAATGACAGTGGGTGGGAGCTGCTTGGGGTCTCCCACTAGGATGAGCTTGTTGCAGCGGTGGATGAGGGGGGTAAGAGTCTCGACCTCACAGGACTGCCCAGCCTTGGTAAAACAGAAAGTAAAGAAGGGGCAACAGCGTCATCCATATAGTTAATCCCATTTGTCTCCCACACCACCTATCAACAAGGACTTTTTTTTTTGCCAGTCCTGGGGCTTGAACTCAGGGCTAGTGCTCTACCCGTTGAGGTTGAGCCACAGTGCCACTTATGACTTTTTCTGAGTAGTTTATTGGAGATAAGAATCTCACAGACTTTCCTGTTTGGGCTGGCTTTGAACTGTGATCCTCAGATCACAGCGAGGATTACAGCTGGGATTACAGCTAGGATTACACTGGTGGTTTAGTATCTCTTTACCGCCCCGTTCCCCCTCCTCCCCACCTCCACTTAAAAACAAACCATCTAAACACAAATTTAAAAAAACTTAGCATGTATTTTGTATTCAGCCTTGGAACTAGCTACAAATTAGAAGGCTACAGGGCATGCTAGGTCTGTGTTCTATGTTCGGATGGGGTGAGCTGAGAGCACGTGTAGCATTTTAGACACAGTATCATGTGAGCAAGGTCTCCCTGCATTTCCATCTTGCTTCCTGGTTCCTTGATAGGCCTCTTCAAGCACAAGACACATGTTTCTCTTTAATGACATTTCCTTCAGTCATTTTCACTTATTAATTCTGGTAAAAAAAAAACTTTTAAAGGGGGAAGCATTAGGGTTTGAACTCAGGGCTTTGAGCTGGCCGGGAAAACATTCTAAGACTTTTCGCTGACATTTAGCCTGGGCTGGCATGGGACCATGACCTTCCCAATTTCTACCATCTGAGTAACTGAAATTACAGACTGAATCGCCATGCCTGGCTTAAATTTAACTGAGACACAACTGCAAAATCTAATATGATATTAGATTTTGGATCTCCTGGACCCCAGTTCTCTTGTCTTCTGACTTTTCATTCTGGCCAACAGTAGATACTCAATAAATGTCTATTCAGTGAATGAACTAGTAAAAAAGGATGTCAGTGGCAATACTGTGGCCAAAACCATCTGAATTTCTATTACAATACTACTACTAGAAAATTAATGGCAGGCCAGGAGCCTCATATTTCAACATGAAAGACTTCAGATGTAACAGATTAAAAAGCAAACTACTTTAGGGACTGGGGACATGTCTCAAAGTAGTAGAGAGCAAATCCAGAAAGTTCAAGGTTTTAAGTATAACCCTAGCATTGCCAAGAAAAAAAGCCACCAAAAAAAACCTTAAAATGAACAAAAACCCCAACCCATCACAAAACAAGTCCCACCTATGTTACTAACACCTTGGCAGCCAGGACTCATCTAAGGCTGCGTCTCCCATTACCAGTCGGGGTGTTTAGCCCACTGCCACTGACCTCGTCTACAATGACACAGCTGAAGGCTTGCCCCCCTTGCCCGCGGAAAGCTGACTCAAGCAGCAAACCCCCGCTGGTGCTCAGCGTGCAGCAGATGACATGCGACTCCAAGATGATGTTGTTCTGTGTTTTCTGGGGGCGTCCCTGAACCTAAAAGACACACAGGTTACACAGTTCACTCCTGCACCATTCCCTACCTCTGTCAAACCACTGTTAACAACAACATACCCACCACGTATTATGAACGTGACAGAGAAATACTTGGCAGAAGTTGGGGAAACATCAAGTCTACAAGCTAGCAGAAACATTCAAGATGACCAGAAATTACCACTCCTACCTCCCCGCTCCCGCACCCCCCCAAAAAGTAATAATAATAATAACATGCTTTGCAATCTAAGCTGGGAATGTGAGGTAAGTGTAACTTAAATTATTCACGGCTGGGCTCCAGTGGCTCATGCCTATAATCCTAGCTACTCAGGAGGCTGAAATCTGAGGATAACCATTCAAAGCCAGCCCAGGCAGTAAAGTCCATGAGACTCTTTTTTTTTTTTTTTTGTCGGTCGTGGGGCTTGAACTCTGGGCCTGGGCGCTGTCCTTCAGCTCTTCAGCTCAAGGCGAGCGCTCTACCACTTGAGCTACAGT